ATTTACTTTTAAATTAAGAAATTGAGTAATGTATAGTACTACAATTTTAATTATAATCTACAGTTTGATACCAAACTTAGTGACAAATTCATAAAATAGTAGTTCAATAAAATGTTTAATGTCGAGTCAACAAATGAGATGACGTGGCCTTCCAGATTAGTCACTCTCTATTGTGTGCAGCTCTCCCAGATTGGAATGTCAGTGCAGTGCTTTACCCCCAATTGAACCTTTATCATCTTGTTCCATGTTTCATTTATCCCTTTAAGTGTATTTCCTCCTAATTTTAACCTGTGGACATCATCGGTTGGATTTGTTTGCCATCAACGTTTCATGTACTCTGTATTATTCCTCATATCTTCTTCTTTACCCGAAGTAGTCCTTCCTTCCCAAGACTTGACAGCTAGAGAGGGTAATTCCTCCTCCTAGCTGATTTCCCTTCCTTCCATTTCCCACTCTATTGCTGGTCTGATCTGGATAGACTTCTATGTCCCCATTATGCCCTTTGTTATTATAACACACACTTGTCTTCCTTCCATTATAAACTTTCCCATCTATTCCTTCCTTGGCAACTATTCTCTGTTCACTGATTGGTGGTGATAATTCTCCCTCTGGTTGGCTGAACTTGAGGTGAAGATGATATGATCCTGATTCTACTTCTGTGTGGATGCTGGTTCCTGGCAGTAGAGTTTTGGATGCAGTTGCCTTGCCGTGTATGGTCCATCGTACCCTAGCCACTCTACACATTGGGGCACATCCCTTCTTTTACCCACAATAGAAGATGTGTTCCTCATTTTTGTTTGCCCGACTCTGTCTCACCTTTTCTGTCTGGGTGAAGAGTATACCCGGTTCAGAAGTAGTGTGGTCTTTCATGTTTCATCATCTTCTTTGAGGGTTTCTTTGACAGCTGATTTTAACTGGGTTATGCATGATGATGATAAAGTGTTATGTTCTGGTAAGACTGGAGAGAGAGAGAGAGAGAGAAACCAGATCTAGCTGACATCAAGAGCACATTGCATGCAAGATCCAATAATTTTAAACATGATACATTTGTGAGACATGCAGGAAATGAACATCGTAAAAAAAGTGACAGCTGTAATACAAGCATAAGCTTCCACTCCTGGAACAAGCCCAGCTGAGGATATTATCCATTCACTGAATTCAATTAACAGTTAGAAGCTTATGATCTTAGTTCCCATGCTGTAGCCAAGCAAGGATGCCCATTTGTAGACTATATATGGATTTGTAAGCTACAACAACAGAATGGGCTAGATATATGCAAAAGCTGTTTAAGTTCTACACACTTTTGTAGATTACATTTCTGAAGTAGAATGCTTAAAACTTGTAAATTCATTGCATGAAGCCAAGTTCATCACTCTTCTCTTAGGTGGCAATACTTATTAAATTGCATGTGAATAAGTTTTGTACCTTTGCTGTTGCATGCAAGATGAGCTTAATATGAAGTTCCTAGGGTTACACCCAATGAAATGGTCAGATGCAGAAGGAAAACACAAAGGCTATAAAGCAAGTTGTTGAATCTCAGGGTGCAATGAATGAGCAAGATGACATCCAAGCTGGTAGACTTTGGCAGTGATGAAGCCTCTATCATGGTTGGTAAAAAAAGGGGGTGTGGCTGCTCACCTGAAGACACTTCAGCCATCTCTCCAAGCTGTACACTGCTATGTATGCAGATTACAGTTGGCATACAAAGATGACCCAGTATGTGTTCTTCTGTTTATTAAGGAAGGAGTTGTTGCACGGATTGTGCAAGTTGTTCCAACACATATTGGGGGTACAAGATAGTTGCCACACAAATACACTTCATGCCTTGACAAATCTCTGGTAGGGCTACCATGCAATAGAACTGGAACTGCTAATTTGTTCAGTGGTTTCAAGGTAAATACCATAAACCATGTTAAGATGCTGTTAATATGGGTATAATATATTTTGCACACATTCTGCATGATGCTTTAATTTTTTTTTGACAAGTTGTTGCTGGAGGTGCAGTGATCCACAGTGGGTTCCAACCATCGCTCTCTTATGGGAACATTAGAAGTATTCGTTAAGTACTGTAATAAACCAGGGCTTATGCTTGCATCAGTTTTGGTATGTGAGGAGATACATGGCCACAAGCTACAGGGTGGCAGCATAAACCTGGAAGTAGTACACCTAAGCATGGCTAGACTAAAGTACAGTCTGCATGGTGGATTTAATGACATAAATGTGGGCATTCTACATACTATCTGTATTGGAAATTTGAAAATATAGCCAGATAAAGAAGATTAATAATTTTGGCAAAGAAGAAGTAGAGCATTTTTCATCTGTGTTTGAGTCCAGTGGACTGGAAGCACCAGACATTGAAGTGGTGTGGATTCTGCTGAAGATCTTGGTCAATGGATTCAGTGGTGAGGTGTTATAACTTATCTGGGTTTAAGATCAACAAAATATTCAGGGATCAGTGCCCCAGTGTTCTTGCAATGACTGACCTGTTACTCACCCTTCTATCATAGTCAGCTGGTTGTAAATGTGGCTTCAATAATGTACAGATTAAGTGTGATTGGAGGAGCCAACTAACATTGGAGAATTTTACCACTCTACTTTGCATACAGCTGCATGCACCTTCAATTGAGTTATTTAACCCAACTGAGGCAATACATTTCTGAAATCATAGTGGCTGAAGATCACAATGTTCAGGAATACAGCCATACAGATAACATTTCAGTTGAGGCCACTGAGCCTGTAATGTGTTAGTGACTCAGAATAAGATACTAAATCTAGAACATGTACTGTCATAACCAAATCTAACAGTGAGTGATTGAGGACTTGATGAAGAAGTGTGAATTCTCATTAGACCATTTTCATTTCATACATTATGCAAGGCCAGGTGGTTAAGGCGCTCGACTCGCAATCTGAGGGTCGCGGGTTCCAATCCCCGTCACACCGAACATGCTCACCCTTTCAGCCATGGGGGCATTATAATGTGATGGTCAATCCCACTATTCATTGGTAAAAGAGTAGCCCAAGAGTTGGCGGTGGGTGGTGATGACTAGCTGCCTTCCCTCTAGTCTTACACTACTAAATTAGGGATGGCTAGCACAGATAACTCTCGTGTGAAATTAAAAAAACAAAAAAACATACAATATGCCAAGCTTCCATGATTATCGTGCTAAAGTTAACTCAGAATAAAGTTGTATTACTATAAGTCAGTTTATTATATTACACTATTATGTTTTAAGTTTAACGTACCAAACTGTCTATATACATGTAATATGAAATTATGCTCTTTGTAGTGTTTCACTTGTTTGCCAATCTTTGATATGCCAGTACTAGTAAAAGTTCTCTTAATACTGTAGTGTTATGTATTGAATTCAATGTGCTAAACTACCTGCAGGATAGTATAAAATTTATATTTTAGACTGTTAGTATATGTTTTTATTTACTGTATACTGTTACTTCTGTAGTTCCTAGGCATTCATAATTTCTTTTAACTCTTTTAACACAGGCTTGGTCAATTTGACCAACCATGTGACCTCTTTGAACTCGTTTAAAGTCTTTATAGATTTAATGCATCTAACTTTCAATATATCTTCACAAAATTTGTCAGTCTTTCATTTAGTATTACAAGTCTTTCAAATACAAAAAAATCATATTTTTGGTGAAGTATTTTTAATAAAGTAAAGATTTGTCCATGAATATATTGAGTATTTGTTTTGATTAGTCTGTGTGCAAAGTAATTTTCATGATAAAATCTCAAATTTCCTTTGTATATATATACACATAATCTAACAAAAATTTTCATATCCCGCACGTGCAAAATTTTAAAAGGCTTAGCAACCTACGTCAATCAGCAACCGAGTACAAAGATTGTAACTAGAAGAGATAATTGTTTGTATGTAATATATAATAATGAAAATGTGACTGTATTTTACAAAATACTAGTCTACTAAAACACAGCCAAGACGGGTCACTTTGTAAGGACTAAAGGTTAGTTTTGTATTATTGGATACAGTAACATGAGAGCACATGTGCTGCATTATTTTAACTTGTGTATTGTTAACCAGGCACATCTGAAATGTCAATATAATAAATATATATAAATGTATAATGTTATTAGACTTAAGCTATTTAGTCTAAACATTTATGTTTGTGTTATAACTTGTGTTCGTTCTAGAATGAAAGAGGCATAACTTATATTTATTTCCTAATTTTTTATGGTGGTTTTAAGATTGGTCAAATCTACTGAACTTGTACAGAAATTCGTTAGTGAAAATAACAGATAAAATATAAAATATCTTTTTTAAGAAATGTTTGATAACTATCTGGACATTATAAAGATTTCGCACGTGAAATCTGAAAAGTTTCTGATGCACAAAAGTATTTTTAATCTTAAAATGAAAATTACTTTGCATGTTGGATATGCAACATGTGCAAAGAAAAAAAGGGCAAGAGAAAAACATTGCTTAAAAAACCTTAAGACTGAATAAAAAAAAAATGTATATTTTGTGTATGAAAGAATTGTAATATTTACTGATAATCTGCTAAATTTCGTTAACATATGCTTACTAATTCAAAAGTTATAGCATGAAAACTATAACAAGCACAAAACAGTTACAAGGTTGGTCCTAGAGACTGAGCACGTGCTGAAAGAGTTAAGTGCAATTTAAGTGATTTTTGTTTATGCTATTTGTTAAGTGAAAATTATAATGTTATTTGTTAAACTGCCTAGGTGCTATGATTCTCAAGGTTGCTATATGCACAGCTGCCAACAAGGTGTTATTAATTTTCAGTGTAGCTTGGAAATATGTATGAGTAAGGCCTTGGAAACTTATAAAATTATGTATGGATGGAAAGAAATTCTAAAATGTGCATTTTGAAGCAAAGAAGTGTCATGTGATACTTAAAAGTGATGATTGAGAATTTGTTTAAATATTTCTTTTTGATATTAAGAAATGAAACTTGTATTAAAATTTGGATTATAAGCTACATTTTGATGCCAGATTTATCGACATACATTGATAATAATGTAGTATAATTAAATTTTGAGTGTAAGTGTAGGAAGGATTTAGAAAGATTGAATCTTTTTATTAATTTTCTGTTTATTGAAAAAGGTTGGGAGACATAAAATCCATTACTTTTAAAGGCCAATTGATATCTCATAATTTATATTTCTTTTTATGCGTATTCCAAGATTTATTTTATTTCAGGTTCTATTATCTAAGTAAGAATGAATATGTTTTTATGTTAATATGTAAGGATGCACGGGTAGCCGGCCAGGTATTTGGCTACCCAATAATACTCGGCTCCGGGCCGAGTGTCTAAGTTAAAAACAGCCAAATCCAGGTAATTGAAAATGGCATCTAAGCCTTAATTTTTGTGGCAACTAACGAGATACTGAAAGTTACAATCAATAATTAGTTGAGTTAAAAAAAAGGAAGACTGACTGCCTGCTGAAAGTCAAGGATTCAGAGAAAAATAGGGAATGTGGGGGTTTCAACAACAATAGGGACTTGGTATTTGGCCAAATTTTACTACCTGTGCATCCCTAGTTAAATGTAACAAACATTGATTTTTGTTTCTAATTTTTGTGTATGTTGTTTTTTGGGGAGGGGGCAAGGGGAGAACCCAGTTGACACCTGGCCTCAGCCGAAGCTTAGTGGCCGGGTACCCAGACCCGGTATTCGGCCAAATTTTACTACCCGTGCATCCCTTTTAATATGTGCAGTATTCATTTTATTGTTAAACTGTTTGTGAGCAATTAGTAAAATATTTCCAAATCTATCATTCATGTAAAGTGGTATGAAAATGTAATTGCATGCAGTATTTGTAACTAATTCACCTGCTGAATTATGTGAGTTTACTGTTACTAACATGACATATGTTTGAGCATTATATAGTGATGTATGAGTGGAATAGAGAACAAAAGTTCAGTGAGAGGTAATGATATGATATTTGAATCTAAGATTTAAATTCTTTTTATGGTAATACTGGAAATTGTTACTTTTTAAAAACTTTTTATCTTTGAGTAATAAAAGTCAGTGAAAAATGCATTTGGAAACAAATTTTTTATATTATCTTTTAACCGACAAAGAAGTATTTATTTTTATTTTAAAGCTAAAGTTGATGCTAAAGGACAGATATCAGAGTGTAATACCAAGTTATGGAAACCTAGTGTTAAAACTGTTTTATGTTAGTCATAAAAGAAATACTAAACTTAGAATATATAATTTGAATTACCCTGAAGCTGGAGACATTTAGTATACATGTATCAGCTTACTTGTTTTTGAGAATTAGATGTAATTATTAGAGAATGAGAAATTAGGCTAAATATGTAAAAACATAATGAAAGGTCCAAAATATGGTTGTCGTAAGTTTTTAGAATGTGAATAAAAATTTTTTCCTCTCAGAATTGCTTATAACTAAAATATTTCTTCAGATTTCCTTTAAATATTTTCTTTTGTGTTGTCATTATAGGTACTGATAATCATTGGATACATTTTACTACTGAGACAATGGCTCTTCCACCATACATGTTAGGACAGCCATATATGATGGGTATGTTAGCCCAACAGCAAGCTGCTGCAGCTGCTCAGCTTGCTGTCCAGGCTCAAGCGCAGGCCCAGGCACAAGCTCAGGCTCAGGCACAAGCACATGCCCAAGCACAAGTTCACATGCAGCAGCAACAGCAGAAACATACAGAATTTTTTGTGTCTGAAGAGAAACTCCAGGAAAAAGGTAAATTTGATCAACATGAAATATGTTCTTCATTAAATTATGACTGTTGTAATTTTTAAATAATAATAATTGAGAGTCTGATCTATCTAATTTTAAAACTAATGACTTTATAACCAAAATTCAGGCTGATGATAAAATAAGAAAAAAGATAAATGTATCAATAATAGCTCTTGGTTGTATTTATTATCAAACCTTTCATTAACTTGTAAGTAAAACATTTTAAATCAGTGGTTCCCAACATTTTACCAACTGAGGACCAGCTAGTTTAGGGTCAAACACTCCTCCATGTTCATTTTTCACAATTTGAATCAAAAAGTTGCTCATCATTCAAAATAATATAAAACTGGTTTCTAAGTTCCTTTTTTTTATTTTTTAAGTTACATATTAAATGCAAGTCATGATTTGTTGGATTTTTGTGCCCACACACAAACACGTTACTTTTTTTCCTGCATCTTTACAAATTGAGCAGTGCCAAAATCCCTTGGTATCTTGTTTATACCAACTCATTTTGAAACTTTTTTGGCGGTTATTTCTTTAATTTTTTCATTGACCTTTCATTTCTGACCAAAATTTGATGGATTTTTCTGAAGGTTTTACACCTGACCAATTTTCTAAAGGTATTTTGAGTGAATACTTTAAATACAATTATATCTGCAAATTAATGAGTAAAAGCAATTTAAAAAGATATGCTTTATGGTACATACCTAATTAATGATTACTTCTTGTTACATGGTTTAATCAAATACATGACAGTCCATGTGCAGAAAAAGACATGACACTTTTCCCAATCATCATTAACATCTGCACATAATCCACTGGTAATAATTATTCCAATTATTTTGATCAATACAATATACATTTAGTTTTCTTTCTTTGTTTTAGCACAAATTTTCAGTAATGATTGTTACATGTAATTGCTATTGACATGCTCTTGGTAGGAAGATTGGATCAAGCATGCTGATGGGCTTATGCCTATGTTATTCATGCTGAGTTGAAAGAATATGGATAAATGTGTGATGTCTTGAATGGCAGACCTATTTCAATCTCCATGTGGAATAGCATCAGTCCATGGACTGGTTGTTGGGAACCATTGTTCTAAACCATTCAAGAGGATCTATTATTTGTAATTTTATTGTTAACTTGGTTCTCTTTGTAGGTCCTTAGTGTTCTGAAGTTATTTAAATTAAGAGAAACTGCCTCAGATTAAATATTATATGGAAATTAAACCTAAATTGTGTGAAAAGGTATCTTGATTTTTTATTATGCATAGAGTACTTTTGTACCAAGTGTGGAAAAGAAATTTTTTCAAACTTTTTTTTTTTTTTTCATTATTACATTTTAGCAAGAAAATGGCAACAGTTGCAATCTAAAAGGTATGCAGAGAAACGCAAGTTTGGTTTTGTGGATGCCCAGAAAGAAGATATGCCTCCTGAGCATATAAGAAAAATTATAAGAGACCATGGTGATATGACAAGCAGGAAATATCGCCATGATAAAAGAGTCTATTTAGGGTAAGTTCAGAAATAGGAATTACCTTTGGTTTAAGTATAATACAGCTAAAACTTATTTTCCAGAACTATGGTGCACTCTACATTTTATCTATTTTTGTGGGTTAACATTCGTTTTGCTAATTGAAAAGAAAAACTCACTTATGTGGAATTAAGTTTTTGTGAATTAATTTTATTGACTAATGTTACATTTTTTTTACCATCTTACTAATAGTGGAAAGTTGTTGTCAATTATGTTGTCAGTGAGACGTTGCTAATGCTACTGGTAGTAGGTTGTTCTGGTTCAGTGTGTTAACAATTCTCTTTTGTTTTCCTGGTTTAACATGTTTATAACTTGTTTTTTTAATGAGCAGCTAATTTTGTTAGAAATGTTTATGGATGTTTGCAACTATACTGAATCAAAAGTTTTATCTTTCTCCATACAGCCTCAGTTGATTTGACCAATCAGGTGATCTCTTTGTACTTGTTTAAAGTCTTTGTAGATTTGATACTACTAACTTTTAATATAGTGTGTATATCTTCACCAAATTTGGCTGTCTTTCAGTAACCATTATATGTCTTTCGTATACAAAAAATCATATTTTTTTTAGTGCAGTATATTTAATAAACCAAAAAAAAAGATTTTATCAGAGAATATATCAAGTATGTCAACAAAATTTGATTTGAATTGTCTGTGTGCATAGTGATTTTCATGTTCAGATTAGAAATATTTTTTTCATATCAAAAACCTGAAATTTCATTTGTGTAATCTCTAAAACCTCCTAAATACATTTCAAATGTTATATTTTATCTGTTATTTTCTCTACCCTAACTCTATACAAGGTTGGTTAATTTGACCGACCTTGTAACCACCAAAAAATATCGAAATAAATCTAAATTATTCCTTTTTTTTCTTTCTAGAATGACTTCAAATTGTAACATGAAATTACATTTGTTTATCTAAGTAGCTTTAAACTTGTAACAGTAGACATCTATTTATAATTAAATTTTATTGTTTTATTACCTTTTGAACCTTGTCTAACTACTATTCACACCATTATAAGTTGTAAATCACTTGGGGAATGTGCAACTCGCATTACGCTATCGAATTATGTTACCCACGAGCTGTTCACGTGTGTGCCTTGTGAAACATTTTTATTATATTATTATTTATTTTTACCTAATCTAACCTTGACTAACCTAAAGAGATCCCTATTTTTACATTTTAGTAACTTTATAATAATAAATAAAGAGTAAACATGAAAAACAAGAAATAAAGTACTTACTGGAGGTTTTTTTTTTTTTTTTAGCTTGCTTAACCCTACTTTTTATACTAATGATAGTAATGCATTAAATAATTTTTATTTAATTAGATAATACACTAAAGACCATAGAATAATAACATGGAAAAAAACAGACAATTTTCTCTAACTTTCACAATTTTCTGGCTTTCTAACTATGCGATAAGAGCAGTTACAGATTCATCCAAGCTAGTAGTTATCTTTCCCGTGGAATGTAGCTTGTACTAACAGAGAAATTGATAATTCTCTCTTCAGACAACAATGTAATACAATACTCGTTTGATAGATGAAAATATTGGCTTTCCATTGGTTATAGATAATATAGAATTGAACACAAGAGAGAGAGCTATTAACAAATCCTGAAAGAGAGGATGTGACAGGTGGGTGTGGCAAGAGGGGTCTTATTTTCTATTGGATAGCTCTGTAATCAAAGAAAATTGAAGGGTATAAAAATTATGGTTTGTCTGAGCAATAGCGATTTTATAATGAGTAATTTACATTTAATTTTGTTGTTATTGGAGGGGTGGTGGATAAAATAGAGAAGAGGGCAAACCTAGAGAAAGTGTGTTGTGTGTCACACTAGAGGAAATTCAGGATTTTTTTAAAAATACTTCTTTATAAAATTAAGAACTTATAACTTATATACTATTAAAATTATTAGCTATACTTTTATGCTATAGTAATTGGTATTACATAAATAAAAAGTAGTTTAATAAAATTTTAAATGTAAGTCACTAAAACCAGTAAATGATGCCTGAGCAGATAGGGTTAATGCTGTGTTTCATGTTCAGTTTATTTTCTTTAATACATCTATTACCTTCATAGTGACATAACAGAATATATATATATATATATATATATATATATATATTTTGAAGATGAAGTTTTACTCCTGAAAAAAAAAAGTAAAGATAATTGCTATTTAGAGAAGGCTTTGCATAACCTTCATTCTGGATCATTTGTACTTCATTAACTTTTTATATTTAATTTATGTTTTTGCTGTATAATCAGAATCTTTGTAATGCTTAATGATGGGTTATTTTCAGAGCATTGAAATACATGCCTCATGCTGTTTTGAAGTTAATGGAGAATATGCCCATGCCTTGGGAACAGATCAGGGATGTTAGAGTATTGTACCACATAACTGGTGCAATAACCTTTGTGAATGAGATTCCATGGGTGATAGAACCTGTATATATTGCTCAGTGGGGGTAAGCTCTCTTAATATTGTTTTTGTTCTGGAAATTTGGTTACTTGAACAACATATTGTGCGTACCAAGTGTTGAATAATTCATGTTCCCAAATATTATTTGTTACACATTTTACACACACCTCTCATGTGTAAATTTTTATATAATGAAAGATTATTATGTTATTAAAAAGTTGTATAATATTCTTAACTTTACTAAGTTTTAGAATATCTGTGAATTGTTATTTTCAAGCACTTGATAATTTATCAAATTTATGAAATGAACATTGTCTTATGAAAGGAGTTAATGTTTTGGTCTTGTCTGTGTAAGAATGGATTTATTGTGTGTGAGAGAAAATGAAAATAAAGGAACATCTGTCTATGATGTACATCTAGAGCTATGTGGATAATGATGAGACGTGAAAAGAGAGACAGGAGACACTTCAAAAGAATGAGGTTCCCCCCATTCGATGATGAAGAACCACCCTTGGATTATGCAGATAATGTACTGGATGTAGAACCTCTGGAGGCAATACAAATGGAGTTAGATTCTGAAGAAGATGCTTCTGTTAATAAGTGGTTTTATGATCACAAACCACTCTTAGATACCAAGTAAGGAATTTAAGTAAATTTTAATTTGACATGAAAATTAGGAACATTGACTATGTGCTAGTCTTAGATACATGGATTTTGTAGTATTTCCAAATACCAAGTGATGTATTTTTGAAATGCTTTTTAAAAATGAACCCAATATTCCTGTCAAAAAGGTAGAAACTATCAGAAGTAGTAAAATGGTTTGTAATAACCTCTTCATCTTCTAATAAGAAAGAGACTATTTTTTGAAGGAATTGTTAATTCTAGTTAAGATCCTGATCAGCTTTGGGTCACAAAATTAGTTGTTTCCAAAACTTTGTAAATACATGAATTATGCTGATCCATTGATTTGTAACACAAAAAGATAACAACTGAGATTGATGCAGATCTAAGGTTCAGATTTTTTAGGGTTTGTTTCTCAGACAGGGCCTAGCCATGACCAGCAGTGCAGGTTGGTCTTGTAATTATTTTACATGAACGAAGCACAGACACCCCATTTTTGCTTAGTTGTATTAACAGTGCTGATAGAATTTACTGTGCAATGTCTGCGATTGTAAACATGTTTGAGAACCAGGTGACTTTATGATTCTGAGAGCCTGTACCTGATTAATTAGTTGTCCTGCTCCAAAGATAATTGGCTAATGAGTAGTGATAGAATAAAAAACACATGCTTCCCTGCCTAGTGGGTTGAATGATTATCCTTACGTTTTTTGGAAATGTTTCTGAATGGTGATTATATGCAGCAAGTAGTGTTGTAATGATACAGTATGTATTGCATTATACAGTTATCTTATTGATACTAAACTTGTATATCATGTGGTGCACTTCTGTCATAAAAAAATTCAGTGGTCATTCAAATAAAAAAAAAAGCTTTTCATTAAACATAGCTTGTTACAGGCTGCAAAAAAAATAATAAAGACCTGGCCTCATGATCAAAATATAAAAATAAAAAAGCATCTCAAGACAGGATAAGTATTCTACTTTATGCAATTTCATTTCAGTGAAGCTAATTTTAATGTTTAGGTGTTAAAAAATATTCACTGTAATAAGTACTGAAGAATTTGATTAGGATAAATTATTTGCTCATCATACTAGCATCCACATTTTTCTTCCAGTTAATTCTAACCATGCTATCTCAAACAGGACATACTATTCATGTAACAGAAAATAATATAGGAAATACTATTTGGGTAATAAAAAATAACACAACTTTGTATGTTAGAAAGTATTCTAAGATAAATAAATATAATCAAGAAATTAATGTAAATTTAGAATTTAAAAATTTAAAAATCAAGATAAAATTATATACTTTTTAGAAAATAAGTTTATATGCGTAAGGAAAAAATAACTCCCCTGCAAAACAGCAAAAAAGGGTATAATCACTTGGAGAGGATTAGATCGAGAAAATAAAGTAGAATTCAGTGTGAACTTGAAGAGTAGTGGTAAAGAATCGAAAAAAAATATGCTTATGTCTTTTTGACAAAATGTTGAATAGTATTATAAAATGTGAATTATACATGCTTCAGAAAATTTCATGCTCATTATGTTCAGTTACTCGATAATAAAATTTTTAACTGACAGTTTGAAAACATTGGACAACTGTATCTTAAAAAGTTTTACATTTGTCTTGGTTTGTTACACTAATTCACTGAATTCAGTCATAACTGATATCTCAGATTAGGCATTGTGAGGTGGTTGTATCATTCAATATTCTAGTTGTTTACCAGCAGTTTAATATTTGTTTACTGTCTGATTTAAACAACTAGAATATCTAATGATACAACCACCTCACAATAACATCAACTTAACAGTTTAATGTTATTTGCAGGAAAAATTTAAAAAATCAAAAGAAGATTTTTATAAGTATTTTTCTTATGATAGCATTTGTTTTTAGTCTTAATTGACATTTTTTATGAAATGTTACACCTTTGCTGTTTACAATCTGTTAGTCTAATGGCTAATGGAGCTAGTTTTGATGAATAATTGAGGAGGAATGTCGGTGGTGTGGGTAGGTGGAAGTGATTTAGGATATCTTTGGGAGCCTTCAAAACCTTGGCCAGTTTTCCTCATGTTTGCCCATGTCTCACTTCTGTACCTGAAATTTGTGGAAATTGTTTTTTTAGTTTCTTATTGACAGATGGTGTTAGATACAAAGTCAGTAGTTCTCTTTATTACCCTTGATCCATGCTAAATGTATAACACTAAACAGTTGTCACACATAAAAAAAAAAAAAAAAATATCTAGTTAATGTAATTTTTGTATTTTTTTAAATTTTTTGTTTTCAGTTTATATACTTAAACACAAATTGTCAATTGTATAAAATGTGGGTTTGGTTATAGAATAACATAGGTGTTTAAAAATTTGACTGCATATATAGACCATTGTTCAATTTCAGTATTATGAATTATGCTGTAATTTTGTGATACTTGTAAAAAAAATTATTTCATTTTTAGGAAATTAAGATTTTGTATTTTGTGCAGGCATGTAAATGGAACAACATATCGACATTGGAATCTGACTCTTCCTCAGATGGCCACACTGTATCGTTTAGCCAACCAATTACTGACAGATCTTGTGGATCATAACTACTTTTATTTGTTTGATTTGAAATCCTTTTTCACTGCTAAAGCACTTAACATGGCTATTCCAGGTGGTCCAAAATTTGAGCCTCTCATTAAAGATTCCAACACAGCGTAAGTTTGAAAAAAAAAACCAATGTTTAGGTGTATATTTTCATTTTGAAGATTACTAATTATATTTAATTTTAAGAAAAATTTGTCTGAAATTGCACATTTTTAGGAGTTTTAGAATTTGAGCTTTAATACACAGTGTGTGTGTGTGTTTGAACACACCAATTTAACAAAACATGTGCTACTCTTTAGCCAACATTCATCTTAGTTTCAGTGCAAGAATGTTGTGCTGTTATTAACAATATCAACCCTCTGGATACTGGTAGATAAAAGTGTTCATATCATGGCTTTTTACAGAGTTACATTAAAAATTTAAACTTTACTTTTAACTCTCTTGTTATGAGGTCGGTCAGTTCAACCATCCTTGTAACCATTTTGTACTTGTTATAGTTTTCATACTATAACTTATAGTACAGTTTGTGTATCTTCACAAAATGTGCCTGACTTAGTAAACATTACAAGTATTTTGTACACAGAAAATCAGATTATTTAATGAAGTATTTTCACTAAAGATTTGTCCTTGGATATATGTAGTCTGTAACTAAAGATTGAAGGCTAATTTATGCTTTGCATGAGTGAAGAGAACATTATACTGAGTAATTTACATTAAATTTAGTATTTCTTGGAGGTGTAGTAATATATTAGAAAAGGGGTACTGAGAGAGAAAATGTCACAATTCTCATTGTAGAGGAAATTCAGGATTTTTTAAAAATAATTGTTTTATAAAATAAAGAACTTAAATCTTATATACTATTAAAATTTAGATTACTAGCTAAGTGTTTATGCTATATTTATTGGTGTACCATAAAAAAAAAAAAGTTCAAATTCTGAATGTAAAATACTAAAACCTCGTGGCATGTACAAAAAAAATATTCCTATGGGTTGAGGGTTAATGCGAATTATGAACTGGTATTATAAGTAGTGCTAAAACATAATCTAACTTTATAGCATCCAGTAATGTTCTTTCACTTAGAAACCAAAAAGTCCAACTTGAATGCCATGTCCTCCTATCATATATTGTGTTTCAAAAAATATCAGTAATTCTTTCTGATGTTTTCTTCTACATTATTTATAAACAGTAGAAAGAGAATTTTTGAACATACTGATTTACATATAATGTTAGTTTTTTGTTACAACAGCTTTTGAATTATTCATTGTATAGATTCACAATTGCTGTTGTTGAGTTCAGTTTGACCATTTAACCCTTTTGAGATGGGTCGGGTGAAAGGTCATGTCATCTCTGTTGTTGACTCTCATTCAGAATTTTATTGAACTATTATTTCATAAACTTATATCAATAAGTTTGGTATCAAACTGTAGATTATAATTCAAATTTTAGTACTATATATTACTTAATTTCTTAATTTAAAAGCAAATACTAAAAAAAATAAACCAGTTTTTGTTTGTCACATGGTATGTTGAATGCTGCACTGGTTCAAATTAGATATTTGTGAAGTCAAAATACTAAATCTATAGTTTTGTACAAATTAGAAACTCAAATTACCAATATTGAAACACTAGAATATAAAATAAGAGCCTCTTATTTATTCAATTTGATAAGATATTGCTCATGTAATAAATCAAATACAGTGGCACTCGCCCATCTCTCTCCATTTTTGGAAATGCTCCCTTATATACACTTACTTTTGTATATGACATGAATAACCAATTAGAAACTCAGAATGTCCCCTTAGTGGCTTTCTCAACCATTTTAATGGACTTGGTGCCATTTCTTTCGTTTGAACCAAGATTTCAATGAGGTAAGTTGCGTCTTTAGTCTGCTCAAAATTTAATATTTTTTTTAGAGTAAAATACATCTTAGTTCCTAAGCTTGATAAATTATAGTGGAATTCTATGGTATTAATGTAATAATTTATGATGTTTAGTTATTCAAATGTATATATAAAACCTAAAAAAAAATATTTTGTTTCATATCCTCCACATGCAAATTTTTAAAGGCTTGGCAACCTACGTTAAGCAGCAACCGAGTACAAAGATCATAACTAGAAGAGATAATTTTTTGCTTTACTTCTTTATTTACTGTTCTATGTTTTAGGAAAAAATAAGTTTAAGAACTTACTTCAAAATAGCAATAATCTATATACATATATAATGTATAATAATTGAAATGTGACTATTTTACAAAATACTAGTCTACTAAAACACAGCCAAGACAAGTTACTTTGTACAAACCAAAGGTCAGGTTTATGTTATTGGATAGTGTAATATGAGTGCACATGAGCCACATCATTGCAACTTCTGTATTGTAAGCCAGGCGCGGGTGAATGGTCAATACAATAAAAATAATAAATATATATATGTAAATGTATAATGTTATGAAATTTAAATATTGTCGTCTAAACATATGTTTTCCTGTTATAATCTGTGTTCATTCTAGAATGAAAGATGCATAATTTATGTTTATTTCCTAATTTTTATGGTGGTTGTGAGATCGGACAAATTTCATATGAAATTTCAAAGTTTTCTGATGCATAAAAGTATTTTTAATCTGAAAATGAAAATTACTTTGCCTGATAGATAGGCAAGATGTGAAAAGAAAGAAAAAGGCATGAGAGAAACATTGCTTTACAAACCTCACGACTTAATAAAAAAAAATTAGATATTTTGCAAATGAAAGCATTGTAATGTTTACTGATAATCTGCCAAATTTCATTAACGTTTGCTTACTAAATTTAAAAAGTTATAGCATGAAAACTATAACAAGACAACAAAAATGGTTAACGAGGTCATCACATTGACAGACC